CCTGCACGAATTGTCCCTTCAGTTCCTGTTGGCTGCAATATCTGGCTGAAGGGAGCTGCGGGAGAGAAGCAGCCAGGTGAGTGCTTCCTGCAACATGCCCCAGCAGTGTCACCTCGCTCCTGCTCTACCTGGAAGGGCTGACCCAGAACACTGGGGCCTTATGGCTTAGAGCTCATGCCCCTGGGCTAAGGGGACACTTAAGTTCCTAAAGCCTCTTTTCTAATCCGATTCTAATCAGGATATTAGGCCCTAAGGTCATGTCACCAGCCAGCTCTGCACTGCTCTCAGCCTGAGAGTCAAAGCACCAGGAGAAAACTTAAGGACCCTTAACGAGAAAAGAGACGGAAGATCCTGTCCCGGATCTGTTTGGTCTTCACACCATAGATGATGGGGTTTAGCATGGGGGGCAATAGCAGGTAGATGTTGGCCATGAGAATGTGGAAATGCAGGGCCACGTTCTGGCCAAATCTGTGTGTCAGGAAGGAGAAGAGACTGGGAATGTAGAAGGCTAATATGGAGCAGAGGTGGGAACCGCAGGTCCCAAAAGTCTTGAGCCGGGCGTCCTTGGTGGGGAGGCCGAAGATGGCCTTGAGGATCTGGGTGTAGGACACGGAAATTAAAAATACATCCATGACAGTAACAAAAATTGCCATGGAGAGGCTGTAGTAACTACTGACCCGGATGTCAGCACAGGCCAGCTTCACTATAGCTATGTGCTCACAGTACGAATGGGGAATGATGTTGGTTCTGCAGTATGGATATCGCCTCGCCAGGAAGGGATAGGGAATTACAAGCATTCCTCCACGCAGAACCACGGCCAGGCTGACCGTGGCCACCACAGAGTTTGTGAGGATGGTGGAATGTCTCAGGGTGTGGCAGATGGCCACATAGCGATCCAACGCCATGGTCATGAAGATCCCGGATTCTATTGCAGAGAAGCTGTGAATGAAGTACATCTGGGTGAGGCAGGCACTGAAATTGATCTCCCTGGAATTGAGCCAGAAGATGCTCAGCATTTTGGGCAGGGTGGATGTGGACAGAACCAGGTCATTGATGGCCAGCATGCAGAGGAAATAGTACATGGGCTCATGGAGGCTTGGATCCCGCTTCACAATGAACAGGATGGTGATGTTCCCCAAGATGGATAGGATGTACGTGATGCAGAAGGGGATGGAGATCCAGATGTGGGCTGCTTCCAGGCCAGGAATTCCTAACAGGAGGAAGGTGGAGGGGTGGTTGAGTTCGGTGGTGTTAGAATCTGACATGAAGTAGGGGAGATGTCCAACTCTGAAGAGGAACTGTATTTCATCATATACCTGAAAAGTCCACGACTTCCTGTAGGTGACCTGGGTCTACGGGTGATGTTCACAGAACAAATGCCTGGGTGGAGAGACAACGTTAATATGAAACACTTCCTGTTAGATGTCTTTAAGTCACCAAGGTCTGATGAACTGTATCCTTGAATATGAAGGATCCAGGTGAGACTATGACCAAGCCATTAACTATGATCTTTGAAAAGTCACTGAAGATAAGAAGGATTCCAGAAGACTGGTAAAGTGCACACATTCACCAACTTGTAAAAATGGTGGAAAGGATAACCTGCCGAATTACAGACCAGTCTGCTTAACTACTGTACCAAAATAAAAATCATCATCATCATCATCATAAGGGCTCGACAATTACGGCAATCTACTCGCCCATGGTGAATAGATCTTAGCGCGGCACAGCGCCGCAGCATGATCAGCGCTTGGGCAGCGTGCCAAACCACGCAGCTGGTGAGTTGGGCTCACAACCGCTTTTCAAGCCCTGATACTACTACTACTACTACTAATAATAATAGAAAAATTAAGGAGATAACTATTACCTTTGACAATCATTGGATATAGGAAAGATTCCAGAAGACTGGTAAAGTGCATACATACACGTACTTATAAAAATGCTGAAAAGGACAACCAAGGGAATTACAGACCAGTCAGCTTAACTTCTGTACCAAAATATAATAATAATAATAATAATAATAACAACAATAATAATAATAATGGAAGAACTAAGGAGTCCATTTGCAAATATCTACAAGATGGTAATGTGATTTATAACAATTAGCATGAATTTGTCAGAAAGTAATCATGTCAAACCAACCTGTTCGCTTTCTTTAACAGGTTCTGAAGTCTTGTGGATAAGGGGGAAGCCACAGATGTGTTATATATAAAATTTAGTGAGGCAGAGAAGAGCAACAACAACAAAGGACTGGGAAACATTATTTATGAGGGAAGATTTACAAAATTATATAATCTAATAAAGAGCACAGTGGATGGGGACTAAAATGTTATTACAAAGAAAGGGAGAAAAATGATTCTGCAGAACTCCCGAGGACAGGACAAGAAGTGATAGTCTAAAATTGCGGCAGGGGAGGGTTAGGTTGGGCATTAGAAAAATCTTCTCAACTGGCACAGTGTTTAAGCACTGGAATAAATTGTCTGGGGATGTTGTGGGATCTCCATCACTGGAGACATTTAACAGAGAGGACTCGGGACGAGGGGTGCAGAGCCCCGGACTTGATCACTGCTCGAGATCCCTTGCAGTGCTTTGATTCTATGACTGGACCCGAGTCCTGCCATTCACACTAGCCATCAGGTTTGAGTTTCACCCACTGTGCGATCACACAAAAGTGATCTCAGATGAGCTGTAGGACAACCCACTGCTCAGTGATTATTCCCTAAGTATTTTAGAAGAACTAGAAGGTTATTCCTGATATTCGCTAATCAATGGAGAGCAACAGCACAATTCCCCAAGCAGATGCATTATTCCGGCTGGTTCATCAACATCCGGAGTCTCCTCATTGCCACTAGACCCCATTTCACCCAGGGAAAGAACAAACGGCAAAGTGGGAAAAAAATTCTCCCACCTTAACCTAATCTGTGTCTATTCTACGATCCTCTTCCACAAGAGGAAATGCAAATGGAGAGCTCATTTGCATATGTTGCACTCTCATTTGCATTTCCTCCTCAGATCCCTTTTGCACAAGTGGTTTTTGTGCAAAAAACCACGGTGTAGACGGCTTCATTTTGTGCCAAAAACCCCTTTTGTGCAAGAGCTTCAAGGAAGAACGGCTCTTGTGCTAAAGGTGGACTTTTTTGCACAAAAACCTCTTGAGCAAAAGGGATCAGAGGAGGAAATGCAGATGAGCATGCAACATATGCAAATGAGTGCTCCATTTCATTTCCTCTTGTGGAAGAGGATCGTAGTATAGATGCAGCCCTACTGTGTCCATGCCCAGAGTTTAGCTGGCACCAGACGGATCGGGCTGACTAGCTCCCAAACCTCTCTGAGGCTCTGACCTTCTCCACAGGGGCCTCTGCCTTGTACTCAAATTGTAAGTAGGAAAGGCAGGATTTCTTAAGTGGAGCCTCCTCACACTCACGTTCATCAATCTGAATTGTCTCCCAGGCCTCAAGGGACACTGGCAAAGCCATGGGGCGTCCTTGAGGTTGCCCCTGCCCTGCAGCCTGTCCCACCTGACTGTTGCCGTGGTCTCTCTGTGAGGTCACTGCCTCCCAAGCTCCTTCAACCAATACGCTGAAGTCTTGCAAAAGACCCTTGTGATGTCACGCCTACAGAGCCAATGTCCTGCTACTGGCCAGAGACTTTACATGTTTGAGCTGCTCCCCTTGTGTCACCTTTACACCTAGGGAGCAGGCAGGCTACATATGAAAAGAGCAGAGGCTGCTCAATGTGCCTCACTGAGGTTTACATAGATTTGCAGCCTGTAAGGCCACAAGAGATGGTTAGCTCCTCTAATCTGACCTTGCTCCCTCCTCCCAGTGCACATCCCACGTCTTCTGTACAGCTTCGTAATGAGTTTTGGACCATAGCACACTCCAGACAGGCATCTAGTTCTCTCTGGGGTACATCCCATATGGAGAAAACTTCAATTCCCTTGTCAGTTTGGAGGAAACCCATGTAGTGATGGGAAGGAAATAGACCGTAAGGTCCCACTTTTGAGTGTGTCATAACACACATACACAACAGAACGGCACTAAGGTTTTACAGGCACCCTTCATACGGGTGTTTCCTAATGACTGAAGTTCTGGTCTCCCCATAGTTCTTTGTACTTAAGGAACAATTATGAGGTCGGATATATTCATTTATTTTTTCATTCATTCCCTCCCTCAAGTGGCAGCCTGGAGCTGGCTTAATACTGAGCTCTCTGTCTCACCAGCCTAGGCTCCCTGTCACACTACGCTGCTGCGAGAAAGTGCAAACCACCCCCAGCCTCACTCTCACACAAACCTTTACACAGGTAGGGACACACCCAGCTGCTGCTACATGGATGCTTCTCCCCCACTCCAGAGTCTAGAACCCTAAAGCTTCACCATCTTTCTCTGGTGAGAAACCCGACCAGTCTACATTTATTACCCAGTCTGCCCCTCCCTCAATGTGGAGAGGAGTATGCACCAGGTCTTCTTTCCTGAGCAGGCTCCTTGAGCACATCGAGCCAATCACACTTCTTTGGGGTAAAAAACAAACCAAACCAAAAAACAAAACAAAACACAAAAGTATGAACGGCAGAAAGACAGTTTTTATGTGATTCCAAGCACTGAGGATGTCTCTAGACTACAGGGTTTTTTTTAAAAAAAGTAGCCTTTTTTCAAAAACAAAAAATCCCAACCTTCCCCTGCGTCTAGACTGCTGCCATGTTCTTTAGAAAGTAAATCGAAAGAATGCAGCAGTTTTTTCAATTGCAGAAAACTTCATTTTACAAGGAATAACGCCTTTTTTCAACAGTTCTCTTTTGAACAAAGGTGTTATTGAACGCAAACTGTGCTTTTTCGAAAGAGAGCATCCAGACTGCCTGGGTGCTCTCTTTCGAAAAAGCGGCTCACTTTTTCAGATGTACTGGCTTTAGTCGAGATGCTCACTTTTGAAAGAGACTTTTTCCAAAAAACCCTCTTTCAAAAGAGACTTGCAGTCCAGACATAGCCTGAGTGTACATATAAAGCTGATTACATAAGAAATAAAGACAAATGCAAACTAAATCCTTTAAACTGGACAGGATTTTAATCAGCCTCATGCCGCTACATACTATAAACAGTCCCTCCAGCTTTCCTGTCCATTGCTTCTGAAGCACGTGGAATTAGACATTGTGAGAAGGAGGGATGCTAGGTGTGACAGACCATTTGTCTTGGACAGTATGGTCTTTCTAATGTTCTTATGAAGACTCCTGATATCTCTACCACCGTTGTAAACCACTGGACTCCACCCCCGTCAAAGAGCTGAGATAGAACCTGAGAGTTGTGATGGGTCCTTCTCTCTGAAGAGTTAGCAATGCAGTGAGAATATCTATTAAAATATGAAACCTAATCCGTGTCACTTAAGAGACTTGCCGCATAATGTCAGGCCATGTTAGTATTAGAGT